GCTTTTCCCCCATGCTATGCGAAGGAGAAATTTCACCGGAAAAGGAGTGAAATTCCACCGGAAAGGGAGTCAGAAGGTGGATGAAAAAGTAGGCACATTTCCCAAGTCAGAGAGATATGGTTCTATTGAGCGGTCTACCTTTGTTATTGTTATTGTTAAGAATACTGCTTAACATTGCGTTATTATATTTTTCTATATTTCTAACATCACATAAGTGTAATTCTTTTGCAGTTCTTTAGGCATTTATGATGGTACATTGCTAATTATTTGTGCTAAAAGTTCTTATGCTCTGCAAAAAAACAAAATACTAATCCTTCTCTTCCCATTCGAATTTTTCTTTTCCGGGGCAAGTTTCTAACTTTTTCTTGTCACTGCTAAATCCCCAGGCACCTGTTCTGTCTAAGGGAATCGGTCATTCTGTAAATCCGGCCAATAGCTTGGTAAGTTCTTGATTTCTTGCTCAATAAAATATGAGATGATAAATTTGATATGATTACTTGGTGTGAAAAGTGGTGCATTTATCATGTTTTCAGGTGCTGAAGGTCCTCTCAGCTTCTCCTTCAGCGTATTCAGCTAATCCTAAATCGAAATTATCAACTCCACCAATGCTTACTGGATCCGCGATCGGTCTTGTTTCAGTTGTGCAGGTGTTTCATCCTATTGGTTGCTTACTGTCAAATAAATCTTGTTCTCTGAAATCTCTCCGTTTGGTTAACTTTGATTTCTTCCTTCTTGCTGTTGTTATAGCTTGTGACATTGGCTCCTGAAAGTTTGTTCTGTTGATGCTGTGTAGTTTGTAATAAGTGATGAAACCGTACAGAAAGTAAAAGCAAATAGAAGCACACTTTAACTAAAATTAGAGGGGTGGTAAGATGTACGCATAATGCAATTGTCATTGCTAGATAATAAGCGCGATATTCTGTTTCTGGTCTGTGTATGATAGATTACCATGAAAATTTCATATTGGTAGCACCAATTTCTGATGCCCGATCATAATGCTGTATTCAACCCCCTCCCACAAAAAAAAACCCTTTTCCTGAACAAGCACATAATGTTTTTAAGTAGCACATACAAAACATAGAAATATTGATAATACTGTTTTCAATTGCAGGCAAGAAATAATGCCCGAATTATGATATCTGGCTCCTTAAGCATGTTTAGCAACCGGTTAGTAATTATGGAGACATCAGGTGGAGTAACTTTATTTTGAACCCGATCTAATTTGAAAACCTTTGATTTTCTATTCAGATTCTTCAGTTCTGGGGTGCAAAAAGCTGGTGGCTCGAATAAGTAAGCATCTAGATACATCCATTGATTTTGTTTGTTTAACATGATAATGATCTAAGCTTAGTGACTAGTACACTTAGATTGTTAAATTAGATGATATATGCGTATATAGATATAGTCTAATATATGTTGGAAGCTTTCTTGATTGGCTTGATATGTTTATATGCCTCAATTGTTTTTATAAGCCTCAGTACTGATTTGACTTGTCCAAACTTAATGTTATAGTTTGTGATAGACTGCACAGGCCTCGATTTAATCAAGAAAGCATAATTACTCTGAAAGATAAAGGCTGTTTTTGATAAGCAGCAGCATCGTATTATCTTTTTTTCCTCCTTGTCTCCTTGCTTCTAACTAAATTCTATGCGAGCAAGGTTGAAAAATAACATATTTCATGCAGTCATCTTCTATGTAAGGTACATGCTAATAATAACCGCTCTTCATGCTTGCTGACTTAATCTACCGCAAATTCTCTTGCAATAACAGCTATGAGAAATCAGGGAATGAGCAGTTTTTGACCCAAATTAGCACGTGGGTTTTCCATGAAAGAGGTCATCTCAAGGTGCAGTTTCAAAGCTAATTTGTTAATCAGCTTCCCTGTTTCTCTTTATAAATTTTAACCCGGGCATTACAATTTTCATGGAAATAAAGGAGGGAAATGCCCTCTGGCACTATCTAAGCATTCACATTTGCTATTCTCAATATGTGAACTATTCTAGGCTGTGAACGTGAGACATCACAGAGTTGTGGAGACAGATGAACCGTCCATATACAGAATCAATGACGAATTGGTAATTCTGTACTTTATGTTTGTGATCATTTAACATTGTCATAAAATATAAAGCAAAAATGGTCTTTGGATACATACTGAAAAAGGCAATTTGATTGAAGGAATATTCTGTTGAGATCTATGAATGGTCTGGAAAAAGTTGGGAACCCTATGTGGCTGATGATGTGCAAGTTCAGTTTTACATGATGAGCCCCTACATATTGAAAACCATGTCAACTGATAAGAAGGTACTCTTAAAAGCTCCACAGATTAGTAGTTCTAGGAGTTGTTCTCACCTAGATTAGTAGTTCTAATGTCACTTCCTACAGGGTGTCTATTATACAACTTTCAAGGTTCCAGATGTTTATGGAGTATTCCAGTTCAAGGTTGAGTATAACAGGCTAGGATACACGAGCTTGAGCCTTTCAAAGCAGGTATCCCCTTACAAATCCAAAGGCACTTTATCTTGTTTATATATTTTTGGAATAAATTAGTCATCATACTGAAAATTCTTGTTATATGCTCGAAGAGGTACTATTCTTTACGTGTCTTGCAGATATTGGAATTATAATTTCTGATATGATAGGAAATTTTATGATATTGGTAATGTCCAATCCTACTCTCGATTTGAGTAGTATGGTTGTAGCAATAATAAACCCAACAAAGGTTGGGGTCGATTTCATGAGGAGTGTGGTATATGCTAGATTATCCAAATGTGTGTGAACTTGATGATTCTTAAAATAATCTCCAAGCGAATGGTTGATTTTGCAATTACTTCTGAAAATTACTACTAGACAGAATTAAAATTTGTCTAGTGGACAAAAAAGGCCTCATCCCGCAATCCGTGGCAATGGATGGTGATCCGTGCCAACGAATTGCATGGTCCTGGCTCAGAAGTAGCTTCACCTTTGTGCCATCTGTCACGGATCAACCACGGCGAAATCCAGAAAGCTCCAGTTCTTCAGCTCTTTGACCCCTCTGTAACCGTGACAACGGATAGCAATTCGTTGCATGGTTGGGCCAGGAACCTTCCTGCTTCAGTTTTTCCTCTCAAAACTGATGACTTCTTGCCAAACTTTGATGCTCTTCAATCTTTAAGCTCTCACACAACTACAAAACATTAAAATACTTCTTCCAAAGACATAAGTAGCCGTTTAATTCCAATAAGTGGGGCATAAAACTCATAAAAACAGAGAGGAAGCTGGCCAAAATGACTTGTCATGACCTTTCTTTCCTGCATAGTCCGGGTGTAAGAATTACTAATGACCTTTCTTTCCTGCATAGTCCGGGTGTAAGAATTACTAATGATCTCTTAGGTTTACAAACTCGAATGTAACTGTTAATATTTTTCTGGACTAAATTCTTGTCTTCATGATTTTTGAAACAGTTTGCTGATCATTATGAAAGTTTTTGTATCTGTACTTTGGTCTTCTCTTTTCATCAGTTCTTGAAATTGTTAGCTCGAAATGGTGAATAGATCTCCATAATTTTTGAACTATGAAGACTGGATTGACAGCCTATTCATCTTTTAAATTTAATGTCACTTGAGAAAAAGAGGTGCATTTGCATGAGAAATTGTAATGATAAAACTTTTGACTTGCAGATTCCTGTTCGGCCCTTCAGACACAACGAATATGAGAGATTTATAACAGCTGCTTTTCCCTATTACGGAGCATCCTTCTCTATGGTACATTATTTTTCTTCTCTTTGTTATGTATTACGGAATCCCAGCCAACCCACATATTGTTCTTAGAAAAAGGATTGGAATCCCTTTTTCCCCTTTAGAGAACAAGAAGTCACCCCTGTTTCTTCTTTCTCAAAAAACAAATAGGAAAAAAGAAAAGGAATAAGAAGTCACCCTTTATGTTGCCTTGTCGTGGTAAAGAACTATGTTGCATTGAACATATAGCACGTTAATCTAGTATATAGCAAAAAAAAACATGCATTTGGTGAATTAAGCATTTAGTGATGCTCAATAGAAATATTTTAGCAAATCTGTTAAGTATGATCTCCTTTCCCTTCTTTCAAAACCCTGCTGAAGCATCTGAGGATGTGCATTATATTCACGCAGAGGAACATTAGTCGGGCCACAAACAGGGTTCGGATGCATGATGTGACCATGAATTGCACGTAGTTGATAGACAAATGAAATAGCGTTCCAGCTGTGGTGTTGTGACATCCCTTTTCTTCTTATTTGATATTACTTTTCTTTTACGTTATTTTACTTTCTTTGGATTGGAAGCCCAATTCAGTTATTGCCATTACATAAGTTTTATTCTACATGATGCCCAACCATCCTAATTGGTGTGTGGATGGAGAATGGGCTGAACTGGAATGGGAGGGGTAAACATGGGGTGTAAAGGGGAATAGGCTGCAGTCTGTGGGCTGTGGTAAAAGGTAAGGGTAAAATGCAAATGGCACGCCTTGTCGTTGGTGTGTTATTGGCGGAATTTTGGAGAAAGTGGTAGCTTGCGAATTACTTCATGGAAGTGTTATCTGACCTAAGAAAAAAATATCCTAATCTTCCTTTTCGCAGAAAACCCTAATCTGATAATCTAAATTCTGAACTACCTGTTACTTTTTTCCATTGTGTTGTGTAAAATTTACTTTTCAAGTGTTGGACATGGAACAGGGGACTTAAATGAAGCAACCACAGAATATACATGACAGGCTCTCCCCCCTCTATTATTTTGCTGACTTGCTCGGATTGATTTTATTACATTCCTCACTCAAACAATAATGTGTTGTGGCCATCTTTCTATAGTTATACCATTTAAATTGTTTTTGTCTTGCTCGCACATGAATTTTTTTGTGATCATTCCCATTTCTTTGCATTGTAGATGGCTGGTTTCTTTATTTTCTCCTTGGTATATCTCTACCACAAGTAAGACGTAAGGAATGGAGACTGAATCTAGTGCAGGTTTTGCATCTGAAGGTTTAAGTTAGAAATACAGGATATAGCGTGTTTAGCCAATAGTGTTCTACGAAACAAGTATATTCTTGTAATTTGGCTGTGTGCTTCGTGGCAAAATCAAGTGAATTGTTGCGTACTATGTTCTAATATGCTGTTCAAGATGTGATTGTCTAATTATTTTTTCCTTTTCTTGGTTTTAGTCGAGATGATGAGTTGCCACCTTGTTACAGCGAATTGTAAGTCTTTTCCAATGCACTTTTTTCTAGGCCCACTATCAGGAGTAAGTTTGAGGTGTTCAAAGATATTATTTTTCTAATTTGGGCTGAAATTGCGTTGTTAGTGTGGACAGAAGTGGCTTTGTAAGAAATTTTGCCCCTGCATAACAGTGAATTATTGGTATTACTCAATAGTTACCTTGTCTTTCTGGAAATCTAACTCGCTTTGAAGATGGTGAGTAGAACAGAAATCCATGTGCAACACTCCTTTTTTCCTGGCAATGGAACGCATTCAGACAACGGTTTCAGCCAGAAAAAGAAAGAACCAAAGCTATCTCGGAGACAATAAGCTAAAAAGAGGAGTCCAAACAAAAACTGGAAAATATATGTATGGAAAAGGCTCAAATATGCAATCAGACTTTAATAAATGGCCCCATCCGTTAAAAGTTGGACATATTTATGCCACTAACGTTATACTATTGGCTCATATGCCATTATCCACTAAAGGAATTCTATTGCTATCAGATTTTGTTACGATTGCTATCAGATTTTGCTACGTGGCATTATCTAAACCCTTCATCACTTACTAGCACCCTCCCCTCACCCCCTCTTTACGAGTGGCATATATGAGCCATTTCATTAAGTTCAGTGGCGTATTTGAGTCTTTTCCCTATTGTGTTGCATAATTCTCTTGGGTAGCAAATTTTGTTTATCATTCGAATTATATTCATGTATAAAACCTCCATTTTTTTTTATTTTACGCAATAAACTTATATTTTTATGTAACAAACTTTTAAGAAGTTTGTCCCTTGTACTACTATAACGTTATAATTTTACATGGATTTTTTTTATTTGATTTATTGGACTGTGAATCTAATCCTATTTTACATCATTCAAAAATTTCTCGTACATTAGCTCTTAAAAAGACTTAAAAACCACATAAAAGTTATTTAAGAAAAAGAAAAAAGAGACGGGCTTACTAGAGAGTACATTAATGAGGTGTAACTGGACATGGTAATGGCTTGGGAAAATGACATAATTTATTTAGGAGACATTAAAAGGTCATTTAATTTTTAAATAAATTGACTACAATTTATGTCACCTAATAGTCGAATGGTATATAAATTGTAGGCATTAAAAGGGAATTTAATGACAGAATTTATTAGGAAAATGACTACAATTTATATACGAATGACTATTAGGCATTAAAAGGGCAGAATATTCCCTAAAAACGCGCTAAAATTAAGGAGAGAATCTTGGTGTTAATTGATTCTACATTAAATTCAATTTTTAAAAAGGGAAAGGAGATTTCTCATCTGCGTATTTTTCTCCAGAAATACAATTCAAATTCTCGAAAAAAAAAAGAACGAACAATTCAAATTTTCGAGTTTCAACAACTCAAAGTTGAAAAAATCTGTTCTTCCATATATTTTCCACCATTGATAGCCATTAAAAAGCTTGAAAGCTTTGAATTCAAATTTGGGTTTTCAAAAATCATTATTTGTTTGGATTGTGTGTTGTTGTAAATAATTCGGAATATGTTTAGGAGTTTATATCTCAATTTTGAGGGGTTTTGGTGAAGATTANCATTAAAAGGGCAGAATATTCCCTAAAAACGCGCTAAAATTAAGGAGAGAATCTTGGTGTTAATTGATTCTACATTAAATTCAATTTTTAAAAAGGGAAAGGAGATTTCTCATCTGCGTATTTTTCTCCAGAAATACAATTCAAATTCTCGAAAAAAAAAAGAACGAACAATTCAAATTTTCGAGTTTCAACAACTCAAAGTTGAAAAAATCTGTTCTTCCATATATTTTCCACCATTGATAGCCATTAAAAAGCTTGAAAGCTTTGAATTCAAATTTGGGTTTTCAAAAATCATTATTTGTTTGGATTGTGTGTTGTTGTAAATAATTCGGAATATGTTTAGGAGTTTATATCTCAATTTTGAGGGGTTTTGGTGAATATTAGACTTGGTTTTGACTGAATTTCAGATTGAAACTCGAAGAAGAAGAAGACATATTTCCAGAAATTATAGATAAATTGTAGAATTGTAGATAAATTGTAGATTGGGAAGACTAAAATTTCTACAATTATGTCGAAAATGTCAATTATGCTACAATTGAAATGAAAATTGGGATATTAAAATTCAATGTATCCAGTTTGTAGATATCTTGTAGATAAATTGTAGATTATTTGTATTCTGATTGTAGATGCATTGTTTTCTGTTTTCACAAATCCAAAATGACTAAAGCTTCTACAAAATCTTCTGCAAAAAACAGTCTACAATTTATCTACTTTTTCTAATTTTTCTGCAATTTATCTACAATTTCTACAAAATTACTACATTTATACTACAATTAAACTACAATCTTATGTGAAAAAAAATATTGACAACAAAATTTGCTCTTCATCGACAAAAATCGTCACCATTTATTGGATTGGTACATTGAACTTTTCCGACTCCGGCAACTTTTCTGGCAATCGGACGACTATCTACAAGTCTACCACAAGCAACACACCTTCTGAAATCTCCAATAGCGATGGTAAAAAGGAGCAGCGACGGTGGTGCTAACCATGTACTTTTCGATATTTTTTTCCGGTAATTGAAGAACCACCCACAAGTGTACTGTGTACATCTATCAAATCAACACAACTTCCGTCAACTTATGCTGGCAAAAAAGCTTCATTTAGCTACTACAATTTTAGCAATTATTACATGAATTACTAGGTAAAATGAGATTCATCACCTAGCCAACAACTTATTTAGTATACTTTTTTTATGTTTATAAAAATGGATTAAAAAGCAAAACAGAGTAGAATAATAAAGAAACAAGAAATAGAAATAGAGAAGAGAAAGAAATGGGAGGGGGAAAACGGGCTGGTAAGATCTTAGTAATTAAGGGGAGAGAGAAATGTGGGATATATGGACACCTTTAATTAAGGAGTAAGAAACTGCCAATTAATTATACCTCTGAATTAATTATGATATATAAATGGTAATTTGGTATGCTGAAATGTAATAAACACAAACCTTAAACATTGAGGGTAATAAGGTTTCATATATGGTATAGGAAGGTAAAAATCCCTTATCCATGACTTCTTGTATATGATCACTTTTGGGAGAATTTTTAGTCTCTCTAACTTGAGGAACCCCCAATTTGAGGGTTTACAAATGTAAAAGTTAGACCCATTGATTATCCATTGGTTACTCATTGATTATCCATTTTCTAAATGGATAATATTGTTCTTATCCATATTTGACCCGTTTTTAAAAAGTTCATTATCCAACCCATTTTTAGTGAATAATATGGGTGGTTAACTGTTTTCTTTAAACCATTTTGCCACCCCTCATAAGGTGTAACTAGATATGGAAAGTACATATGAGTGTGTGAATTATATGTGTTTCATTGTAAAATTTGGGGTTGTTACAATGGTTGAGATGTAGTTGTGGCTTGGGAAAAGGCTCAAATATGCCATTAAACTTAAAGGAAATGCTCACATGTGCCACCCGTAATGGGAGTTGAAAGGGGAGTGGGCTGGTAAGTAACGAAGTGTTTAGATAATACCACGTGGCAAAATCTGGTAGTAGTAGGGTTTCATTAGTAAAAATATGACATATATAAACCAATAGTTTAACGTTAGTGTATATATATACCCCATTCATTTGATAAATAGTTTACTTTTACTATTTGTCTACCTATTGGTTCGAAAATGCATACAATGTTATTTTCTGGTCTAAAATTACCCGACGACTAACAAAATTTTTTGTGGTCCCCTTTTTAATGTGTTGGCAGCACATAACTGTGCCACGTGCATCCCAAATCGAATTGAGTTATACCCGCTCCATTTGTTACACCCGACCCATCCGTAAAAAGATGGACGTCACTGTCTCAAACTTTAGTCGGTCTCTCAGAGATACATGATAGAGTATGTCTACAATACCAATTTGGGATTTTCAAATCCTACAACATAAGCAATCAATAGCAATCAAGAATGCTGACAACCACCACAAATCCAAACCAATACAAAAATTCTTATCATGAAAAGTGTTAACCCCATTTAGAGATTTGGTGTTTGGGTAAAGCCAATGTGAAGAACTTTAAAAAAAAAACTTATTTGTTCTTCACTATTGATGTTGATTCCGTGCAATATTTGTGAATTTTTTTATTAAGATTGAGTTCTGTGGCATATATCTGATTGTGAAGTCAGATCTGAACTTTGATTGTGGTATGACAATGAAACTTAACATAACATTTTATGGAAAATGCCATTGAAGGATTAAGCTCGAGCTGAACTTTTAAAGTCGATTTCGAATGCGATTTTGAGCTTGAAACTGATTTATTGTTGATTGTAAACTAAAATATTACTGATTCTAGATGAAAATCAAAGAAAGAAAATGAAATGGGGTAAGGTTGGGCGGTGATGTCTTTTGCTTGACGAAAATAAATTTCGACAATGATATCTCTTTCTTGTGATGTTATTTCGATAACATTTCCGTCATCAGAGCAGTCAATTTTTGGTTGACGGCTTTAGAGAGGAGCTTTAGAAATTAGGGCGGGTCTCAATTTGGGGCGGGTTAAAATCGATTCGGACCAAGAATCCACGTGGCCCAATTACATGCTGCCAACATATTAAAAAGGGGACCACATAATTTTTCGTTAATTGCAGGGTAATTTTAGACAAGAAAATAATGTTATATGTATTTTCGGACCAATAGGTGGATGAAGAATAAAAGTAAACCATTTACCAATAGGTGGACGTAGCGTAAAAGTAGATAGGCAATTTCTTAAAGTTCGATGGAATATCTGTGCCTTTTTCGATATATGTATGGGAGAACACCTTCAAATGGAGATAAGAAGAAAGGTGTTTACTCGTAAAATAGAACAGTTGAATTTATAGCGTAGTTTATAGACAAGTGAATCGATTTGATCTAAAAATGATAAATAAATAAGGACAAATATAATATTAACGACTGAAATTAAAGGAGATAATAAGCATGAGTCAGAACTTAGCCTTTCCGAGGACAAAAGTAAAAGCAATTGTTCATGTGTTCAAATTAAGTGTAACAAGATAATAGATTATAACTTTTATGTGCAGAGTCTTTCATGTCCCTATAATGGTTGTTAACCCTTC